AGTCTCCTGCCTCCGCCTCCCAAGTAGCTGGGACCACAGGCGCCCGCCACAACACCTGGCTATTTTTTGGTTGCAGCCGTCATTGTTGCTTGGTGGGCCCGGGCTGGATTTGAACCCGCCACCTTAGGTATACGTGGCTGGCGCCTTAGCCACTTGAGCCATAGGCTCTGAGCCATGTTATTCTCTTTAAACAAAACCAAAACAAGTCCTTTGGGAAGTCTGGGGATGCCATATAGTTATTTAACATTAATAGCATTTCTGATAAACCCAATATACCTGGAGAAGTGAACCAGCTTCTGAGTCCCCCTCCCTCCTCTGAGTGGGGTCTGTGGCCCAGCAGCACCACAGTTACAGGGGCACTTGGTACACGTGTGGCATATCAGGCTCCACCCCAGACCTAACAAGACACCCTGGTGATTATCTACATATGAATGTGTGGAAACCACCTCTAGTCTGGGATTCTTCAGATTTCAATAGTCTACTCTATTTGTCCCCACTGGACTGTCTAAAGTCAAGGCAGTAGATGGTGGTGGAAGTCCAGCAGGCCAGCCTACCTGCCTAGGTTTGAATCCCAGCTCTGCTATTCACTTGCAGTATTATTTTACTGACTCAGAACCCCCAGACTCAGTGGGGACCCCACTTACCACATGGGTCTACAGTGAGAATTCAGTGAGGTCTTAAGTGCTAAGCACTCTGATCCAAGTGGTCAGCACACACAGCAAGCACCTAATGATTGCCTATTTTAGTATTTGCTGTGAGGAGCCTGACTGGAATCTCACAGGTAAGCAATCAGCAGAGGGGCTGGGGCAAAAGCTCAAATCTAAGTATTTCCCACATGACATGGGTTACGTTGAGCCTAGTTCCAGATGAGTGTGTTGCTGAACCCACAAAATGCTTTTTCCACTTTTAAAATTTCATTACTGACATTTCAAATTTAGGAGGTATCGTATTCAAAAAAAGAATTTCTGGGTTTGGGTAAAGAATGGGCAGTGGTAGAAGCACAGTGGCCACTGTCCCCTCTAGATGGAGTTTTCGTTCTGTACTTTGCCACAGACCCCACTACTCCCTATTGCCTCACACTCAAAACATGCCTCTCATCTATCTCGATGCCCCATCACCATAAATATCCCAGTTTCTTCCCCACTAAACAATCTGCTCCAAAGCTTTACACTCAGGATCCACCACAGATTCTCATCCTAGAATGCTTCATGCAACAAAATCCTCCTGACTTCCAATCCCCTCACCACGTCTGAAGGTCCCTGGTGTGTTTAAACTGGAGCTGGGTGCTCGATGAGTGATGGGAGTGGACGGTATGGAGCCAGTGGCCTGCACAGCTATGTCTGTTCTTTCAGCTTCCACTGAGCTGGGCAAGGGCGTCCTGGGTTTCTCCTGCTTCTGTTGTACGGCCAATTCCTGGCGCAAATCTGTATCAGGAGAAGGATTCAGACAGTTAAGCCCTTGCTTTGGGTTGGTAGGGTGCAGGCAGGTTTGACAATAGATGCTGCTCAGGGAGAAATACCAGGGTGAAAAACTCCAAGTGGAAACCCCGAGTGAAGTGAAACCCACAGGACCTTGCCTAGCAGGCTTGCAAAACTACAGTACTTCTTCCAAGTAAAAAACAAAAAAGTAAAAAAAAAATTTTTTTTCCTGAAAGACAGCTTCATTCATTGCCTAGGTTACAGTATAGTAGTGTCATCACAGCTCACTGGAACCTCAAACTCCTGGGCTTGAGCAATCCTCCTGCCTCAGCTTCCCAAGTAGCTGGGACTACAGGCATGTGCCATAGCACCCAGCTAATTTTTCTATTTTTGTAGAGATGGGGTCTTACTAGGTTGCCCAGGCTGTTCTTGAGCCCCTGGCAGTGATCTTCCCGCCTTGGCCTCTCAAGTGCTGGGATTATAGACATGAGCCACTGTGCCTGGCCCAACCGAGGTTTAACATTTAAAAAAAAAATGATGGCAGTGACACACTAATACTTTTATTATTAAAAAAAAAAAAAAACCAGCCTAGCAGCGTATATAGAATACTAAATACTAAATCAAAGCATGCTTCCTAACCTACCCCTGAAATGTCCCTCCTCACTCATAAATAATCACTATTAAATGCAGGGATCTGTTCAACCTTTTGTTCTTTGCACATTCAAACATATAGTTTCTATGTATATCTATTAAGCATAAAATAGGAATCATTTTCATTATTCTCCCCCTTCACTGCTACATCTTGGCAATCTTTCGACTGCTATACACTGTTCACTGTAACAATAGTTTAACATTCCACAAAATTTGTGTAATTTATTCAACCATTTCATCACTGATGGGTAGTGAATAGGAATAACTACCTTTTTATTTTTTTGAGACAGTTTCACTATGTCACCCTCGGTAGAATACCATGGTATCACAGCTCACAGCAACCTCAAACTCTCGGGCTTAAGCAATTCTCTTGCTTCAGCCTCCCAAGTAGCTGGGACTACAGGCGCCCGCCACAACACCCAGTTATTCTTTTGTTGCAGTTGTTTAGCTAGCCCAGGCTGGATTTGAACCCGCCACCCTCTGTGTATGTGGCTGGCACCGTAATATGCTACAGGTGCCGAGCTGAATAATTACTTTTTAAACTCAGAGTTTTACTTCATAATCCTCCTTCCACTAGCTACACATAAGAAGCCAAATTAATGTCATATACAATTAATTAGAACTTAATAAAAAAATCTCATATGTACCCTCTTATTAACCAGAAATAAAAAAATAAAAAACCCTTTTATACACCCAAACTTGAATCATTCATCAATCAATGTCTTGTTGCACTTTGAAAGTGTCTCTGGAACTGGCAACCTCTAAAGAGCAGATGCTGACGAGGTCTGAGAGTCCTATGCCAAATGTATCAGTTGCCATCAAGCCACAAAATAATAGGCTAGCTAGCAATTGCACCAGAAATCTCTCCCAGAAAACCCTTGTGCCCCTCCTGAGGATCAAGCCTGCTTGGTGTGTGTGAATTATAGAGCTGGGAGCATGAAATGAATTCTGTAAAACCCCCCAAATAAGGGCTTAGTCTGTGAACCCCAATGCTATTTCTATAAATACCCCATCAGGGATCTTTACAGGGTTCTAGCACCAGGCAGGGACCAAAGTGAGATCTTGCCTGGTGTGGTCCCTCATTCTCGGACTGGACAGTCTGTGTGCACGGCAGGGCACAGATTCCCAGCAGATGTGACCTGTGCAAGGCTAAGGGATGAGAAGTTCTCAGATAGAGAGAGGGGCAACACCAGTGGAGATACATAGAACAAATGCCAAAGCCTCTTACCTCTGGCTTCATCCTTCAGTCTCTGAACAGATTCAAGGAGATTCTCCTTCTCATCAAGTTCACTTTCCAGGAAGGCATTTCTTTCAATGGCTTGATTCAAGCGCTGCTCAAAGTCTTCCAGAGACATGATCGTGGCTCTGAGTAAGAGAAAAGCAAAATTATCAGAGGAAGCAAATGGTAACAATCCATCAGGTACCCCCAGACCAGGGAGGTGCTGAGGGTCAGAAGGGCCTGAGTCCCACAGAGGAGTTCCTAGATGCCACAGACCTGGGTGAGTCCCCCAACCTTCTGGGGCATGGGCTTTTCACGAGCAGAACGGGACTCATCATAGCTGATGAGGTGCACAGGTTGCCCTGAAGATTAAATAAGATGCATCCACACAGCTCTCAGCAGTGGGCCAAGGCATTACCAGGTGGCCACCAGTCTTTTTGGAAGAGCAGCTCTGCTTTCTCTTGGAGGCTCACAATGACAGAATTAAAAATAGACTAATAGGCTAGGCGTTGTGGCTCATGCCTGTAATCCCAGCACTCTGGGCACCCAAGGCAAGAGGACCACTTGAGGCCAGGAGTTTAAGATCAGTCTGGGCAACATAGTGAGATCCACTTCACAAAAAATTTAAAAATAGGTGGGTATGATGGCACACGCTTAATAATCCCTAGCTACTCAGGAAGCTGAGGTGGGAGGACTGCTTGAGCCCAGTATTTTGAGGCTGCAGTGAGCCTCGCCTTGTCTCAAACAAAACCCCCTCAAAAATCTAATAGAATGCACATACAATTGAATAACATGTCTAGCCCAGCCAGCTAGACAACAATGACAACTGCAACAAAAAAAATGGCCAGGCATTGTGGCAGGTGCCTGTGGTCCCAGCTTATTGGCAAGTTGCGGCAAGAGAATCACTTAAGCCCAGGAGTTTGAGGTTGCTGTGAGCTGTGACACTACAGCACTCTACCAAGGGTGACATAATAAGATTATGTCTCAAAAAGAAAAAAAAATGAAGGCAAAATAAAGATATTTCTAGATAAAAGGAGAATTCATTGCCAGCATATCTACACTCCAAGAAACCTTTAATCTTTAGGAAAAGAATGAAGGGCACCCAATGTGCCAGTTGATATAAAAGGGTATTTCTACCCTTTCAATGTCTTTAAAATACATGAGTTTTTAAAGAAAAAATTGTAACAATGTATTGTGGAATCCACACATTTGTAGGTATTACATAGATATTACAACTCCAGCATACAATGCCAAGGTGGTAAATGAAACTCTAAGGTTGCTCAGTTGTTACATTTTGCAGGAAGTGATACAATATTAACCACGGAGACTAGAAAGTTAAAACTGCATATTACATTCCCCAAGGCAAACACATACACACACACACACACACAAAAGTTAACCAAGTTGCTTTGGGGGCAAATAAAATTTTGTATCTCAACAGAAGTTGGCTTATACTTTGCATGGACACATTTGCCAGAACTATAGAATAGTACTCTTAAAATCCGTGCATTTCACTGTATGTAATTCACATATAAATTTTTTAAATAAGAAGTATTTTTGTCAAAAAAAAAAAAAAAGAGGCCAGCTCAGAGTGATCATTTCTCCAAGAAATGTTGGCTCATCCTCTAAGAAATGTTAGTTCTTATTATCATTCTGCTAATCAACACATCAGTTTATGAAACAGTGTTTGTTGAATATGCTTCTTTCCTTTCTACCTCAGGGCCTTAGCACATGCTCCTCCCTCTTGTCTGGAATGTTCTTCTCTCACTCAGGTCCGATGGATAATGGCTATTCATCCCCCTGTTCTTAGCCTAACTGGCATTTCTTCTGGGAAGCCTTTCCTGATATTCTCCTACCTACAGTCAAATAAATATATCCTATTACATGCTCCACAGCACCCGGGACTTTCAGTACTTATTGCTGTAATTAAGTTGCACTGATTTGCTTATTGTCCGTTTTCCCCATGAAACTGAGACCCACAAGGGCACTGGCTTGGCTTTGCTCACTGCTGAGTTCTCTGCTTCACACAGTGTGTAGGAGTTAGGCACCTAGATGCTGGGGAGAAAAACCAGAGACTAAATGCCCCCCAAGCCTGTTTTGTCCTTCCCAGCATACCGCTTGGCTCTTTCCAAGTCGTCATTGGCTTGCTCCAGCTCTCTGATGTATTTTTGCAATTGGTCTTTGATGGCTTTGGTCTGTGCAAGATCATCCTCCAAGGCTGAGATCTGCCGGTAGCCTTCGGAATGCTGCATTTCCAACTTCTCCTGAGGGACAGAACAGACACTGAATGAATGATTCAAGACCTCTGATAAGCTATGTTTGTTTCTCTTGCTTGTCATTTCCTTAAGAACACTGAAGATTAATCCTGGAACATGTGCCCTCCTGCTAGAGTGGACATGTGTTGTTTTGTGGCCATTGAGCATCCATTTCACCCTAGAAAGGGAAAGGGAGAAGGAGAAAGAAAGAAAGAAAGAAAGGAAAGGAAAGAAAGGAAAAAGGGAAGGAAAAAGGAAAGGAAGGGAAAGGAAAGGAAGGGAAAGGAAGAAAGAAAGAGGAAGCTTAAGGTGATTTAGCTGGTGCTTTGTAAAGTCAAAGAACAGTTCGATGATGGCTCCATGACTTGGAGTTGCCCGGTTGGAGCTCTAACATTTATCACTCGCTTATTCTGTGTCAGCCTCTGGGCTAAAAACACTACATCTGCTGCCTCATTTAATCCCACTTCAGAGATGTGGAATCTGATGCTCAGTAACTAAACCAGCCCAGAGTCAATAGCAGTAAATGGCTAAGCCAAGATCAAACCCAGGCCACCTGAGCAGCTGCTCTTAAACAACTATGTTAAATGGCCCTTTCAATCCAGGTACCGAACACTCTTCTGCTTCTGATCCTCTTTCAAATTACTTCTCTTCATCAAACACCCAGTTCAGACCCTGCAAACATGAAACACTCACTGCCTGTAAGAAAAGCCCAATGTCTAATTTGAAAGTTTAAAAAAAAAAGGGGGGGGCAAGCTCTTCTTCTTTTCTCCAACAAATAAACAAAGCTGTTGCTAGAAACAGTCTGGATGCGCTGGGGAGAGTGATGTAATGGTGCCTAGGCCAGGGAGGCGTGGTGAGAGCCATTGTGGAAGAATGTCAAAGAACAAGGAGATTATTTATAGGGTGTTGACAGAGAGGGCATTGGGCATCCTCCTGTTTCCTGGCCCTGAGCAGAGAGTCGTCTGCACTCAGGCAAGCAGAGACAGACCAGGCCGAATTCCCAGGCATGGCTCTGATCACCACACCCTTTATTTGGGGACATCTCCAAATAAAACAGGATCCTAGACCATTAACCTAAATTCAAAGGCAGGTTCCAGGAGGATGAGGCACATGGCCATGCCACCCGCATATAGATTCTGACAATCCCCTTTGAACTTGTGGACATGAAAACCAGTTGCTGCAGTGTGGCGCTTTCATTTGTGACTAATTCTAATAAGCTGTCAGCTGATGGGGGCATCAATAGATGCTCTGTTTGATCCCTTACAGACTATCTTATTCAACTTGCGATGAATAAGCCAGTTGTTAACAAGTCCATCACAGCTGAATAATGCATTTCTCTTAGGTGACTGACATGTCTGCTGGTGGCAGGGTATTATTACTCCAAGAAACCTGTATTTCTCCCCTGTTCTGTGCTGCTCTGAGTCTCATGCATGTGTCACATGGTTGTAATGAAGTGGCTTCTGCAGGTTTGGGGGCTCAGTCTTGAACAGTTAATTACTTAATAACTGCTTGATATTTATTCAGCATCAGTGAATAATTTCCAGTTCATACCACTAATATTCCTCCTATACTGGTTTTCATCCAAGTCACCTTGGAACTACATTGATTCTTCATTGCCTATGGCAGGGGTCAGGCTCTGAACAAAAGAATAAAGGTGGCCAGCTCTAGGGTAAGCAGCAACTGACCCTCAGCCCTTAATGTCAGGGACATGGGGACTAGGGCACACTTGAGTATGAATATTTGTTCTAGGTAACCACGATTTAGCTTTTTGGTGGTGCAAAAGAATGCAGGCCTAATTTGGCCAAGTCTTCCAGTTCTCAAAGGAAGTCAGAAATCTGGATTTTTGGCCACGTATGGTAGCTCATATCTGTAATCACAGCATTTTGGGAGGCTGAGATGGGAGGATCATTTGAGGCCAGGAGTCTGAGACACGTGCCATGTCTGGGCATGGTGGTACATGCTTGTAGTCTCAGCTACTTTGGAAGCTGAGGTGGAAGGACTGCTTGAGATCAGGGGTTCAAGAGCAGACTGAGCAAGAGTGAGCCCTGTTTCTACTGAAAATGGAAAAATTATCTGGGCAAAATGGCATGTGTTTATAGTCTCAGCTACTTGTGGGCTGAGGCAGGAGGATCCCTTCAGCCCAGGAGTTTGATTGAGGTTGCGGAGAGCTATGACTGTGCCACTGTACCCCAGCCTGGGTGACAGAGCGAGAGCCTATCTTTAAAAGAAAAAGTTCAGATTTTTGCAGGAAGCCTTACCAATTTTGATGGATGAAAAAACATGTATATTAAAAGGCAAGTATGGTACATGTGGTTGGGAAAGCCTAGGTTGTGGGTATACAAGTGTTCTTCACGGGACAGCTCTTTCAACCTGTGTGCTTGAAAACTTTCATGGGAAGATGGTCAATAAAAATATCTTTGGGCCAGACTGCTATGCAGAGAGGCACTCTGGCCTATAACTTCAAGCTTGAACTTCACTGCTCGGCTTCCAAGTTCTTTGGGACCTTTCTTCTCCCCGTCCCTGAACCACCCTCCATCCATTTGTTGCTCCCACTTTTTGCCATCACTAGCCATGGTCCACCCAAGGTCCACCCAACTCACACTCATTCACGCCCCTGACAGGCCCAGATTAGCTCTTCATCAACCCCATCCCCTGAGCACCAAGCTGATGGCTGCACACACACCTCTCCTCAGCACAGAACCAGTTCACGTTCCCCTTTGCTCGGCCCCAACCTGTAGAGATCTTTCCCTCCTGGAAGGCCTCACACCCAGGTGTGTTGGCACTTCAGGTCCCTAACTGTTTCATATATTAGGCTTGTCTTCCCAAAGAAACTTCCAGAGGGCAAGGAGTACTTCTCCTTTCACCGTCCTGGGCACACATGAGATGGCTTTGGCTATTTCCCTCAATGACTCACCACAATTTACATGGGGAGATTTAAATAAAGAAAAAAAAAAAGAAAGAAAGAAATGGGCCAAGCGTGGTGGCTCAGGCCTATAATCCTAGCACTCTGGGAGGCCAAGGTGGGTGCACTGCCTCAAGAGTTCAACACCAGCCTAAGCAAGAATGAGACCCTCATCTCTACTGAAAACAGAAAAAATCAGCTGGGCATGGTGGCACATGGCTGTAGTATCAGCTACTCGGGAGGCTGAGGCAAGGGGATGGCTTGAGTCCAGGAGTTTGAAGTTTCTGTGAGCTATGGACACCATGACATTCTAGGCTGAGACAATAGAGTGAGACTCTGTCTCAAAAAAAAAAAAAAAAAAATATGTTATCATGCCGGGCGTGTATTTGTTTTACTTAGAA